TCCCCCCGGTCTCCCCCCTCCCTCTGCCCCGTCCCCCGGGTCTCCCCTTGCATCCGCCCCATCCCCTGGGTGCTCCCACCACCTCCAATCCCGGCTTGGTATCTTCCAGCGTGCGGGTTTTGGCGGGAGCGGCGCGGCGCTCTGATGCGAAGGCGCGGAGTTACGCGCTGGGGTTTGCGCAGGCGCAGAGCCGCCCGCCCCCGCGTGCGCAGACGCGGAGTCTCTGCCCTCGGGCCGGCCTGGCGGCTGCCTCTCGTGGGCCTGGGCCTGGCAGCGGGGACGCTGGCCGGCATGGCCAGCTGGGTGTTCTGTAACCGCTGCTTCCAACCGCCCCACAGGACGGCGTGCTTCAGCCTGACCAACTGTGGCCACGTGTACTGCCAGGGCTGTCTGGGCAAAGGTCAGGCGAGGTCGAGGGGCCAGGGCGCTCGGCCGGCCGCACCCCAGACTGCGGGGCGCGGCGGGGGGAGGGGGCCTTCCAGGGGAGGGGCAAGGCCCGGACGGAGGGGCGCAGGCCCCAGTGGCCCGAGTGCCCCGTGTCGCGGACGCCCGGTTCCTTTCAGCAAACGGCGGGGGCCTCGGGGTACAGGGCGAGCAGGGCACCTGCCGGGCGCTGTGGTGACCGAGGAGGCGCTCTCCTCGCGCCGGGACGCCGTCAGAGCCGGCCTCTGGCCGGCCCAGGGAGGGCGGCGTTAGACGAGTCCCTGTCCCCGGGACGCGGTGAGAGGAGGGCAGGGCCCAGGAAGGCGCACCCTCAGGGCCCGCCAGGGAAGCTGGCGCCAGAGGCAGCGCGGGGTGCCCGGGGCGTGCGCACCCCGGGCGGAAGGGGCGAGCCGGGAGAGCTGCTGCAGAGCTGGGGTGGGGGGCCCGTCCCGTGGGCAGCGGGAGGCCGGTGGTTTCAAGCAGGGCAGGGACGTGCTCAGAGGTGTATTTTTCTTCTTGTGAAACTTTTTTATTGAAGTATAAAGTTTATAGGAAAAAAAAGCCTAAGTGCCAAACGTTATGAATTTGTACAAGGGGAGCTGGCCTGTGAAAGCAGCTCGCAGACGGAGACAGAGCGTCAGCGTCCCCTTGGAAGCCCCTCGAGGACCGCGGTCCTGCCCCCAGCAGCGGCCTCGCCTGCGCGATGTGGACTTCCAGGAGACGAGTCTCACAGCCGTGCCGCGCGCTCTGCTCCCGTGTTGGCCTCTGTTACTCAGCGTCGCGTTGTGACACTCATCTGTGTGTGTCGTGCAGTGGCCGCAGCGTTGTGTGATATACTCTCATCTCTTGACCAGTCTGTTGTTGATGGGCCTTTGCATTCTTTCTAGTTTTTGTCTGTTACGGATGGTGCTGCTGGGAATGCTGTTGTTCGTGTCTTTGGGTGAGCCCGTGCACATTTCTGTTGGGTATGCCTAGGAGTGGAGTTGCTGAGTCTGAGGTGTGTATTTGAAAAGAAAAGTCTGGTGGCTAGGTGAAACATCAGTTGGTGGAAGGTTGGAATTGTGGAAGAAGCTGTGCAGTTGAGCAAGTGACAGGTGATGGGGACAGGATGGGGCCTTGGGGCTGGTGAGAAGTGGTGGGTTTGGGGAAGTTGGTTAGACTCAGCAGACTTGAGTCCAGGAAGGCAGCTCAGTTTCCGACTTGTGGAGCTGGACAGGGTCTGCTTTGGGGTTTTCATGGCCGCACAGAGCGTGGAGAGGACGCAGCAGGTTTGAGTGCGAGGCCCAACAGCTCATGTTAGGACAGTGAGGTGCCCGTGAGAGCCATCCCAGGGGAGACGCTGAGGAGGCAGGTGTGTTTATGGATCTGGGAGTCAGGACAGCCAGGATTACATTTGGGGAGTCATTAGCATGTAGATAACAATTAAAGATGCTGGCGTGAGGAAAGCACCAGAGGCAGAGGAAACTAGAACATGGTGTCACCTTGGGAAGAGCATTTGTTAAAGAAGGTGTGTTGGGGAAAAAGCAAGTGGAGATGTTGAACTAGGCATCGGGGGGTCAGAATCAGAGTTTGGAGCCACCCACTGGATTTAGTGACATGGACAACCTTGGGCAGTGCTTCAGGACCATGCTGATGGGCGCACACTCGATGTTGGAAAGGGGGCAGGGGGAGGCTCACGGTGTCCTGGCTTTGGAAGCCCGTCTGGAGTACCCAGTGTGGACTGGCTTAGGGCCTGGGCCGAAGGTGGTTCCCAGGTGCCTCTGGCTCTTGATGCCTGAGGCTGAAGCACGTTCCAGTAGCCCGAGTTCATTCGTCTAAGAAACTACAGATGCTGGCAACACAGCAAACAGTGAAAAGCGGTGGGGCTCTGGGCGCACACTGACCGTAGCTCCCTACTTCTGCCGTGACCCATTACTCAGAGATAAGCCCTCCTTAAGTTTTGGTGTATATCCTTTCAGACTTTTTCCTATAGGTACAGATTTTTAGAACAAAACATATACCATTTTGTAAGCTACTTTTATCAATAGGACGTGGACGTCTTTACATATTAAAATAAGTCTGGGGGGCCGGGCCATTGGCGCAGCGGTTAAGTGCGTGCGCTCTGCTTTGGCAGCCTGAGGTTTCACAGGTTCGGATCCCGGGCATGCACCGACGCACTGCTCATCAAGCCATGCTGTGGTGGCGTACCATACAAAGTAGAGGAAGATGTGCATGGATGTTAGCCCAGGGCTAGTCTTCCTCAGCAAAAAGAGGAGGATTGGCATCGGATGTTAGCTCAGGGCTGATCTTCCTCACCAAAAAAAAAGAAAAAAAAAAAAGTCTGTATCATCATTTTTAAGGCTGCATACGCTATCTTCTAGTTGCCTTACCAGAATTTGTTTAACTGATTCCCTACTAAAAGACACTTGTGTTTTCTAATATTTTGTTATTAAACACCACTTCACCACTTGTTCACTTACTTGGTTTTTTCCATTTGGGTATATTCAGGGGTGGAATTGCTAGACTGGGAGTGTGTGCATTAAAACTGACACGTATGGGCTGGCCCGGTGGTGCAAGCGGTTAAGTGCGCGTGCTCTGCTGCGGCGGCCCGGGGTTCACCGGTTCGGATCCCAGGCGTGCACCGACGCACTGCTTGGCAAGCCATGCTGTGGCGGTGTCCCATATAAAGTAGAGGAAGATGGGCGTGGATGTTAGCCCAGGGTCAGTCTTCCTCAGCAAAAAGAAAAAAAAGGGGGGGAGGATTGGCAGATGTTAGCACAGGGCTGATCTCGCACACACACACAAAAAACAACTAACACATACTACCAAACTGCCCCCCCAGAAGGGGTGGCTCCTCTGCGTCCCTGTGCTGGCCAGTGAGCCCCTCCCCTTCTGCATCTCTCCTTGGTGGTCTGGATTCGCACCTCACTGGAGATCTGCACTTCCGCTGCTGCTCGTTCAGGTCCTCTCACGCCCTTTCATTGGAGTGTTTATTTTTCATCGGTTTGTGAGCGCTGTTCACATACCAAGGACAAATATCGGTTTGCCTACCAACTGCAAACCATTTCCTCTCTTTGTCACATCTCTTACTTCCCCCACCCACAACAGGATTTTTGGATTTTTAAGAGTCTGGTCTGTTAATCTTTGACTCCACAGCTTCTGGCTGTGATGGTGCACAAGGGGAATTTCCTTGCTCCAGAATCGCAGTAGAGACACGGAGGGCAGGAACATACTGCTGAGGGTGGATGTTTTCAGGAAGGGGCAACTTGAACGTGTTTGTGGGAAGAGGGGAAAGGGGGCCCACTCGTTCCACACACGGACGCTATCCTATGTGCAGTGGGTAGGAGATGAGGTGAACACAGAGATGCAGGGCTAGCCCAGAGAGGACGTCTCCCCAAGACGGAGAGGAGGGAGGCAGAGTGAATTGGGTTGTTCTGTGGTAGGTAAGAGGAGGAGAGGCAGGGGAATCGAGGTAGGTCATGACTGGAGGCTTCTTTTCTCTCCGTAGATGACACGAGGGGACTTGTTTGAACTTCCCCCATAGGGACTTGGGGGGAACACCCAAGAACTGTGGAGGGTTGCCCATGAGTGTTGCAGATTCACAGGGTTGGCATCCACAAATCTGTGAATCTGCTTCTCAGTTAAGTGATTCTTTTCCTGATTCTCAGCTGCATTGGACCGGAAGAGGGGGAGAAGGACAGCTCAGGGTTTGGGCTGGGTGTGCTGCCCAGAAGGACAAAGAATGAGGAGACTGCCATATTGATGGGTCAGCGCTGGGTTCCAGGCTGGTTAGTGAAGACACGAAGGTGGGAGGGTGTGAGGACGTGGGATGAGAGGTTCTGCTGCTCCCACAGGGGAGCTGGAAGCCAGGGAGATGGATGAGTAGGGGCAGTTCTGAGTGTGCTGACATGAGGTGCTCTGATGGCCTAGGGTGTGGTTGTGGGAGAAGGTCCAGTGTGGAGGGCAGGCAAGGCTGACGTTAGTGGCCAGCCCCACAGGGGTGCAGGTGTTCCGGGGTGATGAGTAGAGTTTCACGGAGAGGAAGCTCGTGAAATAGGTGCTAGAGTCACTGTGGGTCTGGGGCAGAGACCCTGGAAAAGGGCAGGTGAGTTAGCTGGACACTACATATTACCATATTACCCTTTGCTTCTTAGGTCCTAGCACTGCCTTCCAGGTGGCAGGAGCTCAGTAAATGCTTATAAAAAGCTCATCCAGTGCGTGGATGGGGGACTGTCTGGTGTCACAGCAGTGAGGCAAGGGGCAGAGCATAACTTGCTTTATCCATTAGGTGGGGTGGGAGGAGCTGTTTTCGTTTTGAATAGTTAAGTTTAAATTAAGATATCACTATAAAATCTCTGAGAAGTATCTGGGGTAGATTTAAGTCTAAGTGTTGTTATCTTTGTGGTCACAATTTGGGGGCATATTTGCAAAGCAGGAGAGAAAGGATTGTTAGTTGTGCAAATGTTTCCAACTGTATCCATACCTACAGTTTCGTCTACTCTCTGGACGTGAAAACATGTACATGCTCTAATCCTGTATGTTTTTTGAAGAAGTGTGGTAATTTAAAGTCTGCATTTATATGTGTTTAAAAGCACTACTCACTGTAATCTAATCAAATTTGCTTTCCTTTTGTAGGTAAAAAGGATGAATGCTTGATTTGTAAAGTTCCTTGTCGTACAGTGTTACTTTCAAAACACGTAAGTTGAAATTTGTAGTATCTGAATGTTAATCACGATGTTTCCTTTTAAATCTGAGATTGAATTTTTAGTCATTTGTAGTGTCTAAGATTTTCATTCATTTTGCTGGGTTGACTCGATCTTACAAGATTTCTGAGTAATCAAAGTGCAGTTAGGATTTGGTTTTGAATACTTCCTGCGACTTTCTTTCCTGACCATGGATTGGCCCTATTCATGGTTTGCTCTGCTCTGTTCCTGGAAATGAAAATGGGTTGTGACTAGACCAGTGTAATACAAGCTCCGTAAGAAGGTGATAGAGTTTGGTTTTTCATGGGGGTCACGTCTAATTGAGAGGCTTGTTCAGAAAGTGAATTTAGGGTGGATTACTGTTGCAGGAGGCTTGAGACAGTGCCTTTTGTTCTCTCTATAAAATATGACAGTTTAACCTGTTTGGTTTAAACTTAGTTACAAATAATTCTTCTCTTTATGCTTAGGCTCCCAGGTGTTGTAGTTGAGCTAATGTTTTAATCTGTAGCAGTAGCAGTTGTTTTTTTCTGGTTACGCAAAGTTACAAAGTAACTGGTACAAAGTTACACAGGATGCAAATGATACAGAAAACATAGTGGAGAAGGGGGACGTCCCCCAGGTCCCGTTTCCCAAAGGCGACGCAGCCAGCTCTGTCGTTCCTGCTCTGTGTGTGTTACTGTGATTTATCTTTTTACAAAAATGGTCTTTTCTCAGTTGATGTTATATTTTGGGCACACCCACACTCTTTAAAAATGACCGCATAGAGCCAGCCCTGATGGTCTAGTGGTTCAAGTTCGGCGCTGTCACTGCTTTGGTGGCCTGGGTTCGTTTCCCAGTTGAGGAACCACACTATCCATCTGTCAGTTGCCATGCTGTGGCGGCCGCTTGCATAAAAGAACTAGAAGGACTTACAACTAGGATATACAGCCATGCACTAGGGCTTTGGGGAGAAGGGAAAAAAAAAGGAAGATTGGCAACAGATTTTAGCTCATGGTGGCTCTTTCCTGCGGAAAAAAAAAAAAAAAAAGACCACATAGGACTTCAGTATTTTCCTGTTGGAAAACCTTTGGTTTTTTCAGTTTTTCGTTTCGGACACTCTTCAGTGAACATTTTTTACTAATGTCTCTACATAGTTGTAAGAATATTTCCGTAGGAGTGGGAAAGCGAGGACAAAGATTTAAACTTTAAATTTTTAACAGAAAGTGCCTTATTTGCCCCCCAGATATGTGCAGTTTATGCTTGCAGCCCCAGTGCCCGTTTCTGTTTCTTTCACAGCTGCTCAGACTAGTGGTTGAGGGAGGAGATGCCTTGAGCCTCTCTTTGCCTTCTTGGGTTGAACGTTTAGTTCATTATTTTCTTTCTTGTTTCCTGGTGAATTTATTTAAGACCGTCGTTTCCTGCTGTTCACTGCCGTTCCACGTCACTTCCACCGTTGCTTTTCTTATCATTCCTAAATTGTCTCTGATCTCTCTTTTACTTCTTGTTTAACTCAAGAATTATTTGGAAGAATATTTTCTAATTTCTAAGTGGTTAGATTTTTATCTCCACTAAAAATTTTGCCACTGGCAAAATTTTAGTTTTATGGCATTGTGACCAGAGACTATGGCTATATGGTTTTGTTTTTTGATTATCAAGATTTTCATTGTGGCTTAGTACATGGTAATTGATGTTCTGTGGCTATTTGAAAACAATATGTATTCTTAGTGTTCTCTGAGTGTCCGTGTGAGAGAGAGTGAAGCTGTTTGAAATGCAGGAGTCCTTCCTGACTTCTCTTTCTCTCACACCCGCGTTCTAAACATCAGATTACATGGGCTCTTTTTCCAGCCATCTCTTCAGGCTCCATCTCTTCCTTTCTCCTTGCTCCACCCCCACACGGGCACCTGGCACCTACAGCTCCTAAGGGCCATCCTTCCTCCTTTTGCTTCTGCTTCCTTGAGTCTGTTCTCACCCTGCAGCCAGAGGGACCTGCTTAAACATGCATCCCCAGCTTTCCAAGAATAAAACCCAAGTCCCTGCATGCCTGTAGCTCTGTCGCCTGGCCTTTGGCGGCCACCTGGTCCCCAGGCCAGCAGCTCTGACCTGCTGCTGCTCCTGGAGCCGGGCTGCTTCCACCTCAGCGCCTGGCCCTCGAATGTTCTCTCCCTCCCCCACTGCCTTCAGGTCTCTGCCAATGGTTCTGTGTGATGGTGGCTTCTTTGAGCATTGATACTATGACGCAGTGTGTGTGCGTTTGCATGTGCGTGCATCCATGTGTGTGTGCACGTGTGAAATAAGTTCCACAAAGCAGTGTTTATCCTTGCTAAATGCAGCCCCCGTGATGGTTTCTATCCTGATGGGTTTTCTTTTGTTACAGTAAACACATCCTAACAGGCTAAGCCGATTTCTGGGATTTACTCCCTGCCTGGCACCTGCTCGTTTTGCTCTGCAGCACGGGCACCACTGACATTTGTATCGTTTGACTTGTTTGCCATTAAACTGGGCTGTTACTGTTACACAGAGAATAGCACACTGCCTTATCTGTCAGGTGGTGGGTGACAAGGGAAGAGGAAATACTGAACCCCGGGGAGCCTGCGGGCACCTGGGAGGTAGCTGGCCTCTGGCAAAGGCGCAGAGCAGAAGGATATGTGGACAAGAAAGGGGTGCACTTAGGCTGGAACTGGCTGGTTGTCCAGCAGAGAGGAACAGCTGTCGTGAGGAGGTGAAGGCCCCCGGCATTGCAGAAGCTGATTGCTTCTAGATTCCAGGTGGTGGGAGACGAGACTTGGAGAGGGTCTTGAGTGATCCGGGCACACTTCCTCACACGCACTTCACTGGGGGCATCGGGGGGCCATAGTTGAGGAAGAACCCCCACCGGGCAGAACCAGGGGCTGGAGATGGGTGGACAGGTTTCCCTGGATGGCAGAGACCAGTCTAATCAAGACGGCCCTGGGGTAGGAGCCCCAGGACACTTGACATAGGGTCCTCGTGACTGATGTGTTCTCACCTTCCCCTTGCCACTGGGGGTGTTGACTCGGCTGTCGTGACCCAGTCCCCCAGTCGGACGGTCACAGTGGGGATGGGCCTAGTTTATAGGTTGCCAACTAGATCAGGACCTGAAGGAGAGGACCAGACACCACCCAAGACCCTGGGCTTTGGTGTGGACACAGTCACGGGGGCATTTGGGAGTATTCCACGGGGCCGGGGTGGGAGGGGTACTTTTCTGCGTAGGGGAAGAGAGAAGTGGACACCAGCAGCCAGAACGGCAGACTGGCCCAGCTGAGGGGCTGTCCTCAGTCCTGCTCCCTTTCTTCCTGGGCACCCAGCTAGACTCCTTCTCCCCCGCTGCATCCCATGAGAGATGCCACTCCAGGCCTGGCCTCCACAACACCCTCCAGACAGCCCTCCACCCCCCACCCCACCCCACTCCACCCGCTGGATGCTGAGGACGCAGCTGACGGGAGGCTGGGCCTCGCATGGAGGGCCCTCCACCAAGCACGGTCCTTAGCTGCTGTACTGGCAGGAAACAGATGCCCCCTCAGACCACTGAGACGGGGAGCTCTGTGTTACACCACTAGCCTGCCTCAGTCTTTGCATTCCATGGAAGTTTTGGAATCAACTTGTCAGTTTCAACACACAGTCCTGTGGGGTTTTTATTGGGTTTGCACTTAATCCGTAATGTAGGTATCAGTAACATAGACATGTATGTAATATGGACTCTTCCAGTCTATGAGCGTGGCACACGCCTCCGTTCGCTGAGATGATTTCCCTTAGTAATGACTATGATTTTCTATTTGGAGGTTTTGTACATCACGGTCAGTGCTGTTCTCAGGTGTTGATGATTTGGGATGCTGCATAGTCGTGTTTTTAATTTCACGTCAAGTGCTTAGTGCTGGTATGTAAAAATGCAGTTTTGTTTATTAACTCATATCTAGTGACCTTGCAGAGTTTACTTGACAATTCTGTTGGCTTATCTGTAGGTTTTTCTAGACTATCTATACACAATCATGTCATCTCTGAATGTTTATTTGTTTTATTCCTCCTTTCCATCCCTGTGCCCTTGTTTTCTGTGCCACCTGGCAAGGACCTCCGGTCTGCTGTGGAGTGGAGATGGCGGTGATCGCAGGCATCGTTTGTCTTCTCCTGTGTCCAGGTCCAGCTTCCAGTGTTTCCCCGTGAAGTATTAACGTGCACCCTGGGTTTTTTGCAAAGGATTTTTATCATGAACAATGTTGAATTTTATCAAATGGTTTTTCTGTAACTATTAAGATTATCATTTGACTTTTCTACTTTATTTTGTTAATGTGGTGAATTGCATTTCTTTTTAGAATTTTAAACCCACATTGGCTTTCAGGAATAACTATACCTTGGTTGTGATGCGGCATAGCTGCAGGTATAGAGGAATCAGGATTTTTGCGCCTGTGTGCATGTGAGAACTGGCCTGTAGTTTTCCTTTCTTATAATGCCCTTTTCAAGCTTTAGTGAATCAGGGTTGTGCTGGCTTCGTAGAAGAAGGTGGAAATTCTTTTCATTTTCTCTTCTCTGGAAGATTGTAAGATTGGGGTTAGAATTCACAAGTGACGCTATCTGAGCCTAGAAGGTTTTTTGTGGGAAGGTATTTAACTACAGACTTAATTTCTTTATTAGATATGAGATGATTCAGAATTCCTGATTCTCCTTGGGTCAATTTAAGTTGTATTTTTCTAGGAATTTGTGCACTTCATTGACACTTGCATGTCTCTTGTCATCAATGTGTTTGTACTCCTCACATAGTTTTAATGTCTGTAAGATCTGTAATGATGTCCCTTTTTCATTTTAATAGTGGTCATTGTGCCTTCTCTCTTTTTTCTTGAACAGTCTTACCAAGAGTTTATCGATTTTTATGAGTATTTTCAGAGTTAATTTTTGGCTCTCTTTATTTTATGCTTATTGTCTATTTTGTTAATTCTCTTATTCTTTCTAATATTTACATTATAGGGTTATAAGTTTTCCTCTGTGTTCATCCTTGCCTGCATTTTGTCTGTTTGGCTGTATTATATTTTCCTTATCTTTCAGTTCAAAATAACTTGAAATTTTTACTCGATTACTCCTGTGACCCATGTGGAGATTGATGAATTTAGAAATAGTTGGGGATTTTTAGTTATCGTTTTTACTGACTTGTACTGAAGTGTGTGTACTGAAAGTGTGAGCTTGGTGAATATTCCATGATGGGAACATAAGCAGCACTCAGAGCAAGAACACCCTCGTCCCTGTGACCCTGGAGATGACAGCCTGCAGCCTGGACTTCAGGTCTGCTGTCCATCAGATTGTCCTGACAGTGCCCGACCTCCACGTGCCCCCCTGCCACCACCTTGCTCCAGCGTGGTTGCTGCGCATTCCAGCTCCCCGTGCGGTTCACGCTCACTCACCGTGCCCATGTACCCTCTTCCCATGCTCGTCACTTCTCTCATCTCCATGCTGCCTGCCAGGGGCCTCTTCCTACTAGAAGGAAATCCCTTTGTTAGTTCCTCTGTGCAGGCCTGTTGGTGACAGTTTCTCTCAGGCTTTGTCTGAAGAGGGCCTCTTGTTTTGCTTCACTTTGAAGCATATTTTCACTGGGTTTACAATTCCTTATTGAAAATTAATGCCAATTTTTAGTGCTTTGATAATACCCCTGCCTTGTTTATCTATGGTTTTCCGCAGTGTGGCTGTTGTGCGAGTGACAGTGTCGTCTCATAGTTGTCCTGCTTCACGGAGATCCCGCTCTCTGTCCGTGATGTCGTTCTGTCCCCCTACCCTCCTGTCCCATTCAAGGTCTGTGTCACGAGGAGAGTGATGTCCCACCTTCCTGTCTCATTTGGGGTCTGCGTCTATGTAGCATGATTTCTTCTCCTTCACAAGGCCATAGATCCTAGTAGATGGGTGACAGCATTTCCGGTTGCTTTCATTCCTGGTCCCTGGAGCTAATCGTATTGTTTTGGGTACGTCTGTTTGTGTAGCATATCTTTACGTGGTAGGAATGGTCACCGCTTGCTCAGCACCCAGCCGGGCCACGCCCTGTGCGGGACACCGTTCCCCTTTTGTGTTACAGGGTGCTCACTACGGCCCTCGGGGGAGGTGCCATTTCTGCTTCTTTACACTCGGGACAGAGGCTCCCGGGTGTCGGGCGTGTGCCAGGGTTGCAGGTCGAGGCGGTGGTCCGTAGGCACACTGCCTGGCCCTGCAGTGGTCGCGTCTCGGCCCCCTGCCAGCCTGACGCCCTGGTCGGCCCCTCTCTCCAAGGCCCAGGAGTGGATCCTGGAGGCACTTCCCCTGCACCAGCCCCTCCACAGTCTCCTCCAGACGTTCCTTAAGGCCTTGGGCCTTCAAGTTGCATTTCCTAGTTCGTACCACTGACCTGCTTTCCCCTAAATTTAGTTTCCCTGTCATTTCAGTGGAGTTTGGGGAGCACAGGTGGGTAAATGGATGGGCTTGAATTGCCGTCTTGGCGCTGTAGCAGGCTGACGGTTCCCCACCAGAGCCCAGCGTGGGAGGGGCTGGGGCTCATGCTGCCTCTCCTTGGTCTGCTCTGGGTCTTTATCCGTGCGCTTCTGTGTTTCTGGTTAGCAGCAGCTCCTCTCGGATTCAGGCCCAAAGACGGCTGTCACCCTGGCGTCTTGTGGTGCCATGGTCGGGAAGGAGGCAGGGCAGGTCTGCAAAGGGATTACAAGGAGGCAGACACCATTTCCTAAACCCTGTTTTTCCTTAAGTACCTCGTGTCTGCTGTGTAAATAACTCAGCACATAACTGCACCTAGTTGAGCGTTACGCTCACAGCTCTTTTCCTTCTGATTTCGCCATTCCCTCTGTGCCTGCTTTCACTCCTGGCCTCATCGAAGCTTCACTGGAGCCCCTCCGAGCAGGGATGTGTCCTGCCGTACAGATGAGGACGTGTGGCTCACAGGGTTCAGCCATCTGCCAGGCCACTCTGCCCTCAGGTGGGCACCCAGAGCCCCTTGGCACTGCCCTTCCATCCTGGAGGAGGTGACACTGCCCCTCACCTGCCACAGCTGCCAGGCAGCCAGGACGTGGGCGTCCCTCCCAGCGCCTCTTGGAGACAGTTCGTGAAGTGCTGCTGTCTGCGTCATCTGCGGTTAATTCTAGATCTTGAAGTACAGTTTTTCACTGGTGCCATGAGCGTGTTCTAGAAACAATAAACATGGACAGTGGCTCTCTTTCTTTTTCAGACTGACTTAGACATCCAGGCGCTCTTCATGGGCATTGACAGTCTGTGTAAGAAGTACTCAAGAGAGACCTCCCAGGTGAGTGGAGAACTCCTGTCCACCTGTCGTTCTGGAGACTTGGTTTGTGACCACCCAGGGTAAATGATCTCAGAAGAGAGGGCGTATTTGACACGCTCTGGAGGCCAGTCTCTTCTGGGATGTGACCAGTGAGTCTTACTGCCGTCTGCGCTGTCTTCACTGTGATGGTGCTGCTTCTTCTGTTCTGTTGTTGCTGTTTGTGCTTTTGGTGTGTGGAGACGTGCTGGTCATTTGGTCAAGACACCCCCTCGATCCTCACAATCCAGGGGACAGACCCAGGATCTCAGGTTTGGAAGGGCCCTGGGTCCAGGCTGTCTAGATTCTGGGCAGTGGGGCTGCTGCGTGAAGCTGTCCTTCCTTGAGGGTCACGGAACCTGCTCAGCCCCCGGGGCCACAGCATTTGACTCCCAGACCGCTCTGCCCCACACACTCTCCCTCTCGCTCCCGTGGTTCTCGTCTCCTTCCCGACCCTCCTCCCTGTCACATGAGCACGCCATGCCCCTGCACATCTCACCCTCTGCTCCCTGCTGCTTTGCAAGCTCTCCCCTACCCCCGGCCTCTCATGTTGTAAATCCATGCCCACCCCGGGTTCCGTGCCACATGGCTGACCTCCTTGGAGTCGCTGGATGGTCTCTGGTTCACCAGGCTGTCCAGGAAGCTGCCCGGGAGAGAAGGGAGCCCTTCCCCCAGCCCCCAGCCCATCCTGCTTCCTCCTCTCTGTTAACGGGGCAGCCCCCACTGTTGGCCGCATCTCGCTTGCCCTCCAGAAGAAGAGGCCGAGTTGGGGAGTGACCAGGAGCCACCTCCAGCTGAGGCCCTTCCCACAGGACAGTAGGCCAGGAGAGAGCACTGTTCGCCCCAACCATTCTTGGCCTGTTGGCTTGTCCATTTGCAGGCCATGGTCAGCCAGCCTGCAAAGACTGTCCGCTCCTCTGTCCTCAGGGAGGCTACTCTCTGGCTCTGACATGGCCTGAAGCACCCGCAGTGTCCTGACTGTCCCTCGTTGTCCTGGGAGGTTCCCCAAGGGGATGCATGGATGTCCCAGAACACAGCGTCGGCACAAGGCGAGTGGCAGGCGGGGAGGTGGACCACCTCCATCTCCACATTCACAGTGGGACCCTCTCTCAGGCCAGGTCCCCTGGGGCCCAGAAGCTACCTGCGTTTGTGACCTGTGGGAGCTCCTCACACCCACGACATTCAGAACACAGGCAGCCATGCTCCTGTAACAGTCTTGGTAAGGACATGGCATTTCCAGACAGCCCACAGAGCCTCATGCTGTCTCAGGAGAAGGCAGGGCAGACTGTCCCTCCATCTCAGACCACACGCCGTGCACAGACATGGAGAGAGGACCGTAGAGGCAGCTGCCAAGTGACTTCCCTCCATGCCTCTGGGTCACACCATCTCGTCATCACGCACCCATCTCTCACAAGTGCAAAGAGGAATTTCCAGAGGCCACAGGGCATTTGAGATTGTAGCTCATTTATATCAACATATGGGTTTATTGTTACTTTTTAATGAATTAATAAACGTCTTAGATTTTTCTGAGTGTTAATTTCTAGTAGGTAAAGACTGACAGATAAACCCACATAAACAAAGCTCTTTGGACTCCTCAGTGACGTTGGGTGTAGAGCTGGCCTGAGACCACTCTGAGTACTCAGGCCTGGGCTTGGGCCTGCCTGAGTGCAGCATCAGGACCACGGCAGGTTCCTTCACTGAAACTCTCGTCAGAGGTCTCTGGGCCCCAGTCACCCTTCCTGATGTGGTTTGTAACGTTGAAACTCTTCCTTTTCGATGACCTGAGGTCCCTTTCTCATCTGCCCAGCTTCTACCCTGAGACAGGGCTGGTCAGCATCAGGTCTGCAGACAGGGCACTTGATCAGAATGTGGACGCCCATGCTGCTCCTCCACGGAGACGGGAAACAGGCAGTGGACTGGATGGCGTCCTGTGGCAGGCGCTCCTGACCGCTCAGCATGGACGCCTGTGGCCTGCGCTGCTCCGAGACCAAGCAGCTCTGCCTGAGGAAGCCGCTCCCTCCCTGCAGCACGGCCAGGCTCCTGTTGTCATTCTCGCACTGGCCCACAGGGTGCGGGCAGAGAGAGTACGTGCGTGGTCGGCACTTCCTTGGTCTCCGACAGACCAGGTCTGGCAGTGGTCTGGCACAGCCTTTGGGCTTTGTAAAAATCTCATCAAGCAGTTCCTCTCTCTCAGTCCAAGAGGCATGTTCTCCACCAGATGAGGACTCACGGCACTTTTTAATTTTCTTTTATTGGTACTGTCTACTCCCTGCCAAAGCCACAGTGGCTCAGCCTCTGGGGCCCAACACAGGTTGACAGCTCACACTGACAACTCTGAGTCTCGGAGGCTGGTCCCCACCCGGTGCAGATGAGTGACATGTGGATGTGTGGTCCAGACTGCCCCTAAGCTCGCATGAGGCTCTGTAGGACTCCACGCTCAGTGGGGATAGTCCCATCTGCAGCTTGGCATCCCCCCCCCCACAGGCCTCTCTACTGGGGTCAGTTTTGCCCATGGCCCTGTCCTTTCTGCAGCCTCGCCTGCCCCGTCACGTCTGTGCCAGTCACAGGGGCCTGCGTGCCTGTTCTCACCAAGGTCCTTGTTTAAAAACGGCCTGCCGGAATAAAAACAGCTGTTCACCTGTGCGTAGGCCATGCTAAGCCCCGTGCTCCGCGGTGATGATCCCAGGTGCCAGCTGGAGGCATCCAGTTCACAGACACCCCAGAATGGCCGACCCTGGTCACTCCCGGATACCCCAGAACGGGCGACCTTCTTCACTCCTGGACACCCCAGAACGGCTGACCCTGGTCGCTCCTGGACACCCCAGAACGGCCAACCCTGGTCGTTCCCAGATATCCTAGAATAGCCAATCCTCTTCTCTCCTGGACACCCCAGAAGGGCCAACCCTGGTCGCTCCTGGACACCCCAGAACAGCTGACCCTGGTCACTCCCAGACACCCAGAACAGCTGACCCTCGTTGCTCCCGGACACCCCAGAACAGCCGACCCTCTTCGCTCCCGGACACCCCAGAATGGCCGACCCTGGTCGCTCCCGGACACCCCAGAACAGCCGTCCCTCTTCGCTCCCGGACACCCCAGAACGGCCAACCCTGGTCGCTCCCAGATGCTGATGCTTTCTTTTTCTCAGTTTGGACCCTGCACCAAGACAGGAGGTTAGGGGTCAGTGTGTGACCTTTCTCTACTCTTGCTGCGGGTGTAGAATCCGCGGTGGAATAAGACCAGGGAAACGTGACTGTCAGCCTTGTCGCTAGGGGCTGCTGGGAAAGGCGGATTTAGATCTGCCAGAACTCATCCCAGCTGTGCGTGGCCCCTGCCTCACTGCCCTGCTCAGTGTGAGGTGGAAAGGGAAGAGAAGGCAACTCCCAGGGTCCCAGGCTAACATGGGGGCTTCACTCACCCACACATGAGGACTAGCAGGTGTCTGCCGACAGAAGCCCCTCACCTGGAAGGCAGACCCAAGGGGCAGCAGGACATATGGACCATCGGTGTGGTCAGGGAGACTTTCTGGGATGGCCTTGTGAGCCATGAGGATTCCTGCAGGGGCAGGAGGGCTCTGTGGGAGCCCCGTGCAGCGTGTCCCCCAGACCCCGAGACCCCGAATCCCTCAGAAGATGCAGGAGCCAGGAGGTATGAGGCTGTGAAGAGGGTGTGTATCAGTCCTGACTGCAGGCCCGCCGTGGGCTGGGCCCTCCTCTCCACAGGGGGCTTTTCTCCCTCGGTTGGTACTAGACCCGTGAGCCTCGGGGAGGTTGCCAGCCGACCCTCACGTTTGCACACCTATCAGCAGGTTCCTGAGGGGAGTGATGTGGGTGATGGACGTAGAGGAAGTGGCCCAACAGCCCGCCCTGCCATCTGTCAGCTGTGCACAGAGGGCGACCACAGTTAGGCTTGCACAGTTACGGTTCAGCATTTCAAGAGGGTAGGCAGCATTGTCTGAAAACTTCACTGGTGTGAAATAGCTCTCTCCCCCTGGAGTGAGTCATGGGTCACTCATTTGGTTTACGTTGGTGCTCTGGGGACCCCATCCAAACCAGATGCCCTGCATGCAGGCAGTCAGTGCTCAGATAAATGGAAGACCAGGGGTGGAGCTGATTCCAGGCGCAGAGTCCAGACGCGGTCACTGGGCTCTCAGGAGTTCGCAGCTCTGCCATCTCTGCTGGGCTTTGCTCCCTGTGTTGGCTCTTCCCACCTACCCCGGCCCCGGGCCCTATCCCAGTTTCAGGGTGTTCCTGGCTGGTTCTTTCTGTCAGGAGGCCATCCCATGGTCCAGTCACTGTTGCCAGGGGGACGGCACACTGGCTGCCCCACACGAGTCGTCCCATCCATGGCCAGGACCCAGAGCACCACTGAAGCCGCACAGAAGGGGGGCAGGGCAGCCCTCGGTGTTTATCCTGTCTTCACATGGAACATACTGCTCTCGCTTGTGTTTGTCTGAGCGTGCCCTGCTGCGTTCATTCATTCATTATCTGGCTGCACCGAGCGTCTGCTCCGGGCACAGGGCAGCAGCCAGCAGCCCCTGATCCAGCGGAGCCCACGTCTGTCCGGGCAGGCAGGCGGGGGACAAGTGTCTGGGGAGATGCATGTGGAGCAGAGCGCTGTAGCCTGCCCCGGAGGTCCCTCCTAACCTCTGGTTTCTGGGACCAGACATGCGGGAGCAGCCGTGTGCCATGTGCAGCTGACCTGTTATCTTCTCAGATTTCAGAATTTCAAGAAAAACACAGGAAGAGACTGGTAACCTTCTACAGAGAAAAGGTAAATCCAGTCCCATGTCACCTCGTGAAGGTTTGACCGTTTGACTTCGTGTCATATTATCCCCCGATGCCGTGTCTCAGTGGTGGGCCACAGGGCTTACCCTCAGCCTGTTGCACGCTTCCTCTCTGTGGTCAGCCACCTAGCCACTCTGGGGACTGACCGTGGTCACTGGGTAGATTCACCTTGGGGCTCAGTACTGACCCGTTGTTGTCCCCTGAACACAGTAGGCAGTTTTTCGTAAATGGCAGCTATAAAGTTGCTCCAGCCAATCCCCACAAAAGGAGGTTGGAAACACCTGTTTGTTTGCCGTGTGAGTATCCTCCTCACTTGATTTTTAAACTAATTGGAAGGAAAGTAGAGCTTTAGTAAAAACCGTTAATCTGGAGCCTCAGTTGTGACTTGGATTCAGGTCTCCTGGAGGGACGTGTAGACAGGAGAGGGGGAGCAGCTGGGGGCGGGTTTGGGAGAGGAATAAGGAGAGGACTCAGGGTGGCCCGCGTAGCGAGGCTGGGGCCCTACCCCATCGGGCATCCCCCTCACCTGGCTGGGCCCGGTATCAGGGCCCTTGGAATGTGGGAGGCAAGTTAGATGCTTCTCTTTTTAACCGTTGTAGTTTTTTTAAGTAGAAGTCCTTTTTTAAAACCTTTAAAGGTTATAGAGTAAGGAGCCTGGCTTTGAAGCCACAGAATCCCGTGGCTACCTCTTCGAATGTGGAAGCGGTCCAGCCTCCCAGTGTCTGTCCTGCAGCCCCTGCCCCCTCTTTATGTAGGACGTGGCAGGTGTGAGGGTGGTGCTGCCCCTTAGGCCTGGCCGGCTGCGTGCTCGGTGCCTCCTGCCATCTCCCTCCTTTTCAAGTGCCCCTGGCCAGTCCTGCGGTGGGTCTGCACAGAGAGCGCCTGGAGGAGACGAATCTCCACAGAGCTGTCCAGCTTGCCCTCGCCCAGCCACAGCCTCGTCTTCCCCCACCCTTGCCCTGAGTCCTGCCCACAGGCACCTGGCCAAGCCTCTGTGTGTATTACTTCTCAGTCCTCACAGCAGACCTAGAGGGTAGGTGGTATTAACCACGTTGTGCAGAGGCAAATGTAGGATCGGAGAGTGTAGTAACTGCCTGGAGGTCTGGCGGTGCCCACGCGGCAGGGACCCAGACCCTGATGTAGCAGCAGAGACAAGTGTGTGAGGCGGTGGTCTCTCCTGTATCCAGAGCAGGGCACACTAACAAGGACCCGGCTGGGGCTACAGTTTATCTGGGCTCTGCTCACTGTCTCAGCACCAGCCCGTGCTGGAGGGACTGGCTCAGGACCTGCCTCCTGGTGCCCGGCTGGTGTCCTAAACAGCTGATGGCCTGGCCTCCATGTGCATTCACTATAAACAGCACGAGGGCAGCTCCCGCTGACTTATATTCTGGTCATGGTTTAAGGAATTGAGAGGGTCGGCGTGTCTTCTTTAAGCTATCACTGGCGCAGTCTGTCTGGTAAGTGAAGTCATTTCACTGTCTTCAGATTTCTAAGTTGGAAGACTCCCTCCGAAAGTCAGTGCTGCGGATACAAGAGCTGCAGAGGTGAGTGCTCGTGAGCACAGGGCCTCTGCCTGTGCTGCATCCTTGGCGTCCGTCTCAGGTCTAGAGGGAGAATTGCTGCAGAGGCAGCCTCAGTCACAGCCAAGGGACAGAGGAAGGAGCGCTTTCACTTACTAGAAACTTGCTTCGGAGCAAAAACGCAGTGAGGGGCCAAAGGGAAGAAAAGGGAGAGAAAGAAAGTGACACAAACACAAGTGGTTCCCCTTGGGGCTCCCGGGTGATTCCCGAAGCGATGAGGGGGCCTGCGAGCGAGTGGGTACCCAGCGGCCCGTGAGAGTGACCGCCCTGCACATAGAGGGGCTCTGAGGCTGGGCCCCACGGGACCCCTGCCTGCAGCTGGTGGCCTCCTTTCTGCCAGGAATCACGCATGTCTGGTTGTCAGTGTGGAATCCATCACATGCCCGAGGTCAGCACACACCGTGTGTAAATGTGGCGCATCTCACATGCTACATCGTCTTTGATGGTATGAGATGTGGTATAGCTTTCTGTTGAGTGTTTTAACGTGGTGAATATTCAGAAGCCCTAGCTGGGTGAGTTGCACACAAGTGTAAAGGTTGTGGAGTTGATGACCCTGTGGGGCTGCTGTCTGACCAGCTGGTCGCGTGGGCAGGGGTGACCCACACAGTGCGTGTGGATGCCTGCTTCCCTCTGGCATCCGGTAGCTGAACTGGAATGGCGGTCCAGGAGCCACGGGCTGGAGAAGGAGCTGGGAGGACCTGTCGCACTGTCCTGCCCTGCCTCTGCCAGCTGTTGTTGCTGTGGGTGCTGCTTTGTGAGGGTGTGTTCCAGGGTCAGCAAGCTACGTGCCACATCCAGCCCACATACCTTGTTGTGTAGCCCCCAAGCTGAGAACGGCTTTAACACTGTGGAGGATTATGAGAAAACAGCACAGTGCGGCCCTCGTGTGCCTGTGAGCCTGACCGTGCCTCGGCCCTGTGCGCAGCTCGCAGGAGGGATGGCCGACTGCCGCAAGGTGCCTGAGCACGGCTCACTCTGAGTTGTCCTCCTCGGAGTGTGATCTGCTCTCCTTCTGTGGTACCATGTCTTCCGTTAGTTCTGGAGAATTCCCAGCCATTGTCCTTCCAGGCACTGCCCTTGTCCAGTCTCCTGCGACCATGGTCCAGACCCGACAGGCCTGCTGGTTCTTCAGGCCTCGTAACCTCCTGTGTTGCTGTCCTGGCAGCTGCTCTGACCGTCCCAGGTGACCTCAGTCTCCTTCCCAATCCCCCATAGCTCTACTGCTGCGCACCTCCTCCATCGAGCTGTGTTTTGGGTGCCTCAGTTTTACATTTCTAGAACATTCATGGTCATTTTTATATCACGTTGCTTGCATATTTTTGTGTCTATCTTTATTTAGGCATCTCACAGGCAGTTTTTTATTTCCCGAACTCGATCTCTTCAGCAGTGCCACCTGCCTGTCTCCCTCAGGTGCTTGCTCCAGGTGGAGTGTTTTTGGCATGGTGGTGCTCCGTGGTGGGTCCTCCTGGGCCTCTGCGTTTTCCTCCAGGGAGGAGGCCCGTGCGCTCCACAGGCCCAGACCGTGTGGGCACATTTCCACCCTGCCTGGCTGTGCAGCATTAACCGGAGTGGTGTTGGGGTGGGCCTTCTGTCACGGGTGTCGTCACTCATCCTCTCCACGTGCCCGTTGCATAGCAACGTTTGTTTTACGGAGTCAATTGGAAGCAGGTGCACATGCCCTTCAAGAGAGCTGGGAGCCTGTGGCACTTCTCCCACTTGGTCAGTTGGTCACTCAGGCGCTCAGCAGGCCTTTATTGAGGTCCCATTGTGTTCTCAGCGTGGCTCTGCGCTCTGGAGAGTCAGGGAGCCGCAGGCCACCTGCCCGTCCTCAGGGAGCATCTGTGGGGTGGAACATGAACATGCATGTAGGACGAATGAAGCGGGAGGGACCGAGGGGATGGGCCAGGGAGAGCATTTGGCTGTTTCAGTCTTATTCTTTCAACTGGAATGAATTAGCTGGAAGTAAATTTTTATGGTTTAATTAATACTGTTTTTCCATCATTTAGCATGAGATCATCACAACAAACAGCTTTCAGCACAATAAGAAATTCAGTTTCGAGTAAGTGAAGTAACGCCTCGAGGGGGCATGGGAAGTGCTGCTGAGCAGCCCTGAGTGTGCTCTGATGCTGAGATTTCTGTCACAGCCCCTTCAGCAAAGCCAGATGGCTGGCCATTCCTGCCAACGGACTCGTCCTCCTCTGAAAGGTGTGTGCGTCTGGTGGGGCTGGTCTGGGAGTTTGTGGACACTGCTGGACCGACGTTCACAAGTTGTACACATCCTGCCTTTGATACCCCTGCGTCTCTCCCTCGTCCCTCCCCCTCAAGTCCCCCAGTACTGGACAGTCAGCGCACACAGTCAGGAGTGTACCCGTCTGCAGGCACAGGTCCCAGGACCAGGTGTGTGGTACAGGCTGCCAATCACAGGACCGTCCTTGTGGCCATAGTGATTGGTTTGGGAGTGGTCACACGACCCAGGCTGCACAATGGGCGTCGTCCCTGGGACTCTCCCCTCTGCGGTCAGGATGGCCAGCCTAGGGGAGGTGGCTCGGAAACGGATCCAACGTAGAGGAAACAGGACAGGAGATAGAGGCTGTGCTGGTGGCATCATTGGGACCCCAACCCACCCCGCTGAAGGGAGCGGCCCCTGGAGCGTATTCTTTCTCCACTGTTGGTTTTCTTGAAGTGGCTGGAGTTGAGTCCCCATCAGCCCAAAAGGTCCCGAAGGAAGGTCACCTGAATCAGCCAGGTTGGGCCTGGCCAGTGCCCTGGCTCATTCCCTGGTGCTTTCTCTGGCCGCTCAGCGTCTCGCATTTAGCGTGCATTCAGAAAGTCGTTGTTTAGATGATTCACTCTTCCTTCCCTCTGTTCTCTTTTTCTTTCTGCCTCTTTTCTCCTGCAGGGATGCCCAAATGATGTTTCCCCATCAACCTTTGGGTTAATTAAGGAACTAACACTTATTGAGCACTAGTTGTGTAAAGTGTATGTGCCAGGCAGAAAGTGTTAACAAAAGTAAATAAAATGTTGCTGCCCCCAGGAGGTTCGGGCACGAGTAGGAAGAGCTAAGAGATGGGCGGCCAGAGGAGGGGCCATCTGAGCCAGGAGGCGGCGTGTGTGGGCGTGTGCGGGGGTGTGCGGGCAGTGAGACGGGAATGCGGGGCTCCAGAGCTCGGCCGGGGCCAGACGGAGAAGGGCCTCCGTGCTCTGCAGATGAGGGTGTGTTACAGGCAGTGGGCGGCCAGCACAGAGCTTTGAGAAGGGAGATGACAGCGATCAGATCTGTAACTCCCTGAGCTCTGACAGCGTCATGGAACTGGAGGATGCTGCAGATGTTTGCAGGGGTCTTATGTGTGTGCTTCATGGTATTGTGTCATGGTAGGTAAGTCCCAGGCCCAGTAAATGTGTTTCACTGTCTGTTTAACAGAGTGGAGTCCATGGAAGTTGACCTCACTCCTTCCCCAATGAGGAAGGTAAGTACATCTGTTCTCCTGTGTTGCTTGTTTCCCAGGTATTTAGTATTTACAGTTTTTCTCAGCACTAATAAATATAACCATACATTTAACAGTGGACAGATCATGAACAGTGTCTCTTCAGCGTGTGTAGGACCAAGGGATGTGGTTTATAAACCAGGTCCTGAGCGACCGTCACGCGCGCTCTCATTCTGTGCAGGGCGGGACCATGGTCAGAGCGGGAGGCAGGGCCTGTGCTGTGTGGGGAGAAGCAGCTGCGGGGCCTGCCAGCCGCCCTGTGCTCCACCTGCTGGCTGGAGCAGTGGTAGGAATGATGCTGAGTAAAACTGGGGTAAATCCTAGCGGCCCCGGTTAAGAAGTGGGTCGGAAATGTGTAGGGCTCAGAAGAACAGGAGGCGGCAGCTTCGGCTTGGAAAGAAACAAGCCCAGAGGAAACGTGGCCAGACTCAGGAGACCAGGCCCAGCCCCAGCCCCGCCACCGCGCAGCTCCGGCCGAGTGTGGTCTGACTGCAGGCGGCCAGACACCGGAGCTGAGAAAAGGGCTGGGGAAGACCTTGCGTGTGAGCAGTCAGGAAGAGGCAGGGAGGAAGAAGGCTCGGGTGCTGGGAGGGAGAGCGAGCCACGCCAGGAGTTGCAGCGGGTACTCCAGAGCGTGAGCAGGGGTCTGTGCACGAGTCCTTGTGTATGTTGGTGACTTCACCGCTGTGCTGCTGGGGGTGGTGCTGCACTGTGCCTTTTATTTGCAGGCACCTTTCTAGGCACTTGAAAAACCTGGACTGAGTCTTCCTGGTGGTCCTAGGAGGTGGACACTGGTGTGTAGGCTCGTTAGTAAGAAATAATGTCACTTCCAAGGGAACCGTCCTGGAGCCAGATTGTAGAGGAACCTGGGTTCTGGAGTGAGAAGGTGAAGTGCAGAGCCATTCCCAGCTCTGGCGGGGGAGATGCCCCGTCCTTGGCCATTGGCGTGAGCTCGCACCTCCTCTCCGTGCCCTGCTTACCTCCCTACGCCTCCCATGTGTCGGCCACGCTGCCGGACGTCACAGGCTTCCTGTCACACCTGGGAGGGCGGCCGTGGAAGCACCTCCCTGCCCTGGGCATCCGCCACCTCTGCACCCCAGCCCCACCAACTGCCTTCGAGGGCTTGTCAGAGGTGAGCAGCCAGCAGCTCCTGAGGAAGGCCCCCCCAGAGCTTGCCTTCGCTCCCCAAGGTTGAACCACATGCCTCGGCCCACGCCTGTCTTTGTGTCGAACGTTAAAGGCTGACAGACTGAGCTGACTTCCCGTTACTGGGGGTTACCTCAGGAATAGCAGCTGAGGGACTGAATGCAATGAACTGTTGGAAATTCCAAAGTGAGGAGTGAGGCCCGATGTCAGAGGATGTTTCTGTCGAGGGCCGGCCGGTGAACAGTGGAGGCCTTGTGGAGCCTCGGTCTCTGCCACAGCTGCTCCCCTCTGACTGATGGCGTGGAGACAGTGGGCACGGCTGCGTTCCAGTAAAACTTTATTAACAGAAATCAGCTGTGGGCCATAGTTTGCTAACCCCTGTGCCAGAACAGAATGCAAGTTTTCAAGGAAAACTTCTCAGTCTGGTCGTTTGCCTCTCAAGCCCCCTCAGCCCTGGTGTGGTGCACGTGGAAGCATCTTTGGTGGAGCTGCTGGGAGCCCCTGAATGGGGCAGAATGAGGGGTGTCTCCTGGAAACCCCAAGCTGAGGTTCCGGGAGACCACCCAGACAGCACAGGTGGGCCAGGGCCTTACCATCTGGTCTGCTGGCCTGCAGGGGAGGAGTGGAGGGCAGTGCCCCATTCCTCAAGGTGAGTGAGAACAGGCTCCCAGCCCCTGTCAGGGGCCACCAGAGGAGTGTTGTCCAGGGTGGTCTTGGCAGGGTCCCTGCCCCAGAGGGCTTGTCAGAGGTGAGCAGCCGCAAGCAAGGGCATCTCGTCGAGGAGGGTTGCTGGAGAAGCAGAGCACAAGCACCACAGCCAGCCTGGGAGACGCAGCAGCCGCCACGCACAACTTGTGGGAGCGGCCTGGGGCTGTGCCGCCAGGGTCAGCCACACTGCCACCCTGCGCCGAGCCTGGGGTCCAGGGAGAGGAGGTAAGGGATGCAGAGCCGCTGCCTGCCCGAGGCCCAACCACCTGCAAATGAAGATGGAGATGCTGATGGCTTGTCAGCCGTGGACGGGGACGCAGGCTTTCCCAGTCAAGGCTTTTAGTCGTACTGGGCACAGGACTGTGTACCACCCACACTGGCCAGTAGTAACCGACCTTGGTTTTTTTAGAGGTAGAATCATGACTTAGAAATATGAAGTGAGTACGTACTTGTTTAACTGGTGCATTAATGAAGGAAGCCAGTAAAAGTGAAAGTGGTTTAAGGGAGAATCCGGGGAGCGCACACACACCGGCCGTCAGGAGAGAGCCCGGAGCACCAAGCAGAGTGCACCGCAGCAGCTGCAAGAACCGTCGCTGGTGCCACCTGCTCTCTGCAGCTCAGCGCTGTAGGTGACTCCGGGACGCAGAGACGGACCCCGTAGCCCGAGATGACCTGTAAGGGAGCATTAGACAACCACAGCCTTTCTGCCCATTTCAGAATCTTCCACGCTTCCCTGACGTCAGGGAAGTTCTGGAGCTTTCCAGAGTGTTTATTTTCTGGTGGGAAAAACTCTCCTGTGAGCAAGTTGTGAACCGAGGGAGACACGTGAAGCCAAGCCCAGTACGTGTGCTCATTAGACGTAACTACAGAGGTGTCAGGAGGGGCTGGGGGCAGCTGAGGGCAAGAGAACCTTGAGGGAGCCGGGCCGTCTCTGTGGGTATGGCTGGGGTGCGTGGGAAGAGGGCGTGAGCGCCGTGCCTGTTGGCGCGTGCCCCTCCTCCTGGCGGTTGTCCCCGTGGTTGTCTTCTCTTGTACCCCTGTGACTCCTAGCTTACTGCGTAGGGCCTCCACTCGCAGGTGCGCTCCCCAAAGCGGGCCGCCGTCGGCACCTCCCTGAGGCCCCTTGGCTTCCCACTGCTGCTTCAGGTGGTCTGGTCCTGCTCTGCACATTGGCCCAACTGCCTGGCAAAGTGAAACGCCAGAGTGACTGTTGGAATCCTGAGTGTAGCAGCCAGCACCCCAGATCCTAGACAGTAGCTGCCAAATGTGCTCCGGAAAACAGGTCCTCGTGGGGCCCTGTCTTGGCGCGGCTTACTCCCAGTGCTCACAGCGGTGCCTTAAGCACCCTGTATCCACACGGCCGCTTCAGTGCCCTCCCCAGGTGAGCCCACCTAGCTGGGCTGTCTGTCACTCGCCTCTGTGTTATGGCCACCATCCTGGGCATTCTGGGCCTTTAAATTCTTTTTGTTTCACCTATTACCGGATTTTCCCGCAAACAGAGGACTCAAGAACTGACCAAATAAAAATCGTTTCTTATGAGAAGCTTGAGTGAGAAGAGATAACTTATCCAATTCTAATCCGACGTTAGTAATTTTTGTCCTGGCGTGTGGGGATAACCCTTCTCTGTTGAAGTTTCAAATACTGCATCGGTTGGCTAGAGTTGGCCTGCACTGGACATGGATGGCAGCAACGCACAGAACAGGCTGGAGGTGGAAGTCGTGGGGGACAGCCCAGGTGCGAGGCTGTAAGAGGAGCAGGTATGCCAAGGGCTGCTGTGGCGTGAGCCGGTGGGCGCAGCACTGAGAACCTACGTTGGAGGTTCCTGCTGCAGGCCCGCAGGAACCACGGGCAGCTGGGCACCCTGACTCCAGCGGGGTGGCCACAGAGGGGAAAGGGGGGCCTCTGGGAGAAAGGTGAACAGACAGGCCCTCTTGCGAGTTATTCTACACGCAACAGAGAAGTGAAACCTCCGCTAGGAGGGGCTGTCCTTAGGGTGAGCTGCGTTGAAGCCGTGGTTGCTGACCGGAAGGATCCAGAGGTGACGAGTGAGAGCACCCCTGAGCAGGGGAGAGGACACCCTGGAGCCGGCCCTGCCATCTGCGCTGATGGCAGGGAGGCACACTCCCGGTTTCAGTTCTGCTTGGGCGTGAGCGAGTCATCAGCCTGAAGTGTATGAGGAGGGGAGGAGGCCAGATGGAGGCCGTGCTGGGTGGACAGCTCAGGGGAAAGCCAGCCTGGTGCAGCGGCGCCGCCTGCCAGGCATTGCAGTTCCCGATTGCAAAGCCTCTCTGCCCGAGGGGCCTGGTCCCTCCAAGGTTAGAGTCGTGCCTGAGGGCATGAGCCAGAGACAGCCGGGGTTGGGGGTGTTTGCAGAGGGTGCCCTGGAGCCAGGCCACCACAGAGCTGGTAGGGAGGCTGCTGGATGGTGGAGCAGAGGCTCACTGGGTGGGTATGTCAGGCACGGGAGCTGGGAAGGTGGGCCCGAGATCCCAGCGGGGCCACAGGGGGTGGTGGCCGAGTCTGGGGACAGACCCACGGGAGCCGGAAGTGTGTGGGGCCACAGGAATGGGGCCAGGATGGACCATGGAAATGACGGGTCAGGCGGCGAGAACTCGCACCTGGTCTCTGCTCCTGCAGCACCTTTGTGTCCGCAGCCCACCCCAGATCCCCTGAGTGGTGAGAGGAGGGGCTCTGGGTAGAGTGGCGGCCATCACCAGCTCACGACGGACAAGCTGCTCTTGCTCTCAGCTCCCTCTTGGGGAGTCAGGGATGGCGACACCCCTTGGTGGACCTGATGTGGGTGCCCAGCCTAGAGCAGGGCCCTGCACACACACCGCTCCCTGCCAACAACAGTCGTCAACATCTGGATTTCAAGGTGACAAAATTATGCAACCAAAATGAGGATTTACTTAGGATTTCAAAATTTCTAATGACAGCCAAGAACTTTGTTTACTTTGTCTCTCTGCCGAAATTCTTACAGCACTCGGTGCGTCCTCCACCCATCACTGCTGTGAGCCCCGCTGGGACAGGGGGATTTCCTGTGTTGCCCTCCTCGCAGGGAATGAGTGGAAACCAGGTCAGCCAGGAGTTTGTCAGGCTGATCAAGACCAAGGAGCTGTGTTCCTGATTAACGAGGAGGTTCTTGCTCTCGCGAGTGGCGGCTTAGGAGTGTTATCACTTGTTCTCTCTTTGCGTTCTAGCCTCAGGTAGCAGCTGGCCCGCCGAGGATCTCCCTGATTAGTCCACCTCAGGATGGGCGCATGGGTGAGTGCACGTCCCGTCACTGCCTCAGGTCACCTCGCGGGCTTAACACGTTCCCCTGAAGGGACAGCGAGTCACAGCCGTCCTAGCTTAGCCGTGTGAGTCTGGCCTTCAGCAAAGTCATCTTGGGCGGCTGCGCGCTCCCAAAACGGTGCAGCTCCTGGGTCTGTTCAGGGACACCTCTGTGAGCACCATTCAACAAGTCACAGAAGAAAACCGCTCTCGTATCTCCTCCTGGGTTTGGACAAAAGTTGTATCACGGGGCTGGCTTACTGATAACTGTTGGAGTCTCTGGTTGGTTTCTGAAGTGAGCGCCGGCCCCCCGGCTGGTTCAGGCCCCTCCCCTCTGGGGTCAGTGTGAGTCCTCCTGGCCCCGGCCCCCCCGTCACCTCCATTCTGGCTCACCCCCTGTGCCCTCGCCCCCACGCCCTCTCCGCCCCCGTGTCCCTCCCTCGCCAAACACCCAGCTGATGCCGTGAAATTAGTCTCAGTGTCATCGTGGAAACGTTTACATTCATGGTGAGTGCTTTATTCTTAATCCTGAGCTCTTCTGTTTTCTTTCTCGCCATTGCTGCTGCCATCTTGCTTCTTAGATTCACTTTTCTTGCTGAAGCTGATGTAGGATAATTGCTCCAGAGAAGCCGTGAGATGCAGGTTTCCTGCGCCGTCTTGTCTGGAGCCTTTGGCTCCACCTCACACCTGAGCGAGTGCAGGTGCCAGGAGCCCCTGGCTCAGGCTCCTCATCCTCCAGCGCTTGGGGGTGGCGGCTCCACCGCTCCCAGCCTCGAGGAGCAGCCTGTCCTCCCATGTCTGCGGTGCTGTGCCTTTGCTTCTGGACGCTTTGGGGTGTCTGCTGGCTGGGAGGTGCCTGGCGTGGTTGCTCATCCCACTCGGGCCTCCTTCAGGTCTTCATGCTCCCGTCCCCCTCCCTGCCTCTGCTGCCGGAGCCCTGTCGTCCGTCCCGGCCCTCTTCTTTCACGCTTCCCACCTCGGTCCTGTTGTGTGGCTGGCGGGTGCAGCTCCCACACCCCTCCAGCGTTCAGTTTCTGTTGCAGTGATCTGATGTGTCACTCTTTAGCTGGCTTGCCCACATGGATGGAGCACCTGTCACACCTTGAGGAGTGCTGGTGATGCTTGTGCTCAAGTCCTGCTCAGCTGCCTATTGATGTCATTTCCTCGGTGATGGAGATGGCATTTCTCCTGGGCTGCGGGTTCTTGTCGTGCTCCTCCCTTGGTTGGGAGCGTCCTGTGAGGCCCACGGCCTTGCCTGCCGATGAGCTGCCCTCACGTGCCCTTGTGCTGCCCACGCCCCGGCCATTCTTCTGTCTGTGGCCCAGACTTCACTGTTCCCATTATCTTTTCGGAACTGAGGTTGGAGGCCAGCAGTGTGTGAGCGAACAGGAGCTTCTTAAACCGCCACGTCCTCCTTCTCCATACAGAAGCCGGAGGTCTGGCTGGCATGCACCCCACCGCCCTGCTCCAGTGTGCTCTCGGCCTGGAACACCTTTGCCACCTCTCCTCCTGCCAACCTCACTGTCGGGGTGTCGGGGGCTCGTGCAAGGACATTTGTCCTCACTGGACTCTGTCCCCAGCAATGTTTCCAGAAGGTCACAGGGAACACAGAGACCCCCTGTGTGTTGATAAGTATCGACAAGTTACAAGGGCCGCCCCACGTGCTTCCTGCACCCTGTGTGTCTGTGGTGCCTCCTTTCTAGTCTGAAGGGAAAGGGCCTCGTTTCTGTGACTGTCGATGCTTCCGAACGTTTTCATTTTAGTCATCTTGTGGTTTGTCTATGAGTTGTCTGTTTTTCCATTTTCCCTTCGTGTGCGTGGAACCCTCAATATGAAGGGTATGACCTTTTACCCAATTTGCTTTTTAATTTTGTATTTGACTTTTTGCATTTTAGATACTTAACATTTTTATGTTCTCAAATCTGTTGCTATTATCTTTTTTATTTCATAGGTTTTTATGCTTAGATAGGTTTTTTCCATACCCAAATCATTTTATTCTAGTTTTTAATGTTTACCTTTTTCCAAATTCTTTGGAATATATTTTGAGAGAGATATGTTGTAAGATGACTGTCCTACTTGGTATTTCTATAATTTATTTTGAAAATATTTCAAGCACACTGAAATATGGTAAAACAGTATAAAAACTCCCCTGTTCTCCTCACCTGGACTCCCCACTGTGAACGTTGTGCCAGATTTTATCCTTCTCTGTTACCGTTGGGGTTTCTCTGAGCCCCTGAGAGCGTGTTGCAGACATGGTGCCCCGCCCCCCTAAAAGACAGGGGGCCTCCTCTGCAGAACTGCCCGCAGCCCAGGCACGCTGAGCATTGACACAGCTCGGTCCATCGGCCGTCGTGGCAGGAACCTCCTTCTCCTCTCTGTCCACAGTCCCATGTAAAGACACGCTGTGTCTAGTTGTAATGCCTCTTCAGTCTCCTCCAGGCTGGAACAGACCCTCCCACTTTCCCTGTCTTTTCTGTCCTCAACACTTTTAAAGAATATAGACCTTAAATTCTAAAAGATGACCCGTGAGCTGGCTTGTCTGGTGTTTGTTTCCTCATGAGACCAGACCAAGCTCTCCTGGCAGGAACGCCCCAGAAATGCTGCTGCTCGTCTTGGCACATCAGGTCAGGGCACACAAAGTCGCCCCGTCACAACGTGGGGACATCCACCTCGTCACCTGGCTGCACTGGTGTTCTGTCAGTTTTCCAGGCTAGCACCGTGTCCTGCTGTGGTGAGTGTCCTGTGGGAGCTGATTGTCTGTTTTTCATCCAGCCTTCCCCCCAGTGGTCACCACCACTCTGATGACTGCCACACAGTAATCTCTCTGCATCCACGGGTCCTTCTGTGTGTATTAGCTAGCATGCTGCTGTAAGGAAGAGCTTTCCCTTTTATCTGATTTATGATGCATTCGTTCATTTATAGCAATATAGATTCATAGATTGCTATTTTATTCAACGGGTTGTATTCTTTACTCAGATTCTCCCAGATATGGTCATATGCAAAATGCTTTTATTTTTTTCTTTGGAAGGATTGAGACAAGGTAAATAGTTAAATTTTCATTTTTATTTTTTTTTTCTTTTCTTTTTTTTTTTTTTGGTGAGGAAGATCAGCCCTGAGCTAACATCCATGCTAATCCTCCTCTTTTTGCTGAGGAAGACCGGCTCTGAGCTAACATCTATTGCCAATCCTCCTCCTTTTATTTTTTTCCCCAAAGCTCCAGTGGATAGTTTTATGTCATAGTTGCACATCCTTCTAGTTGCTGTATGTGGGACGCGGCCTCAGCATGGCCGGAGAAGCGGTGCATTGGTGCACGCCCAGGATCCAAACCCTGGCCGCCAGTAGCGGAGCGCGCGCACTTAACCGCTAAGCCATGGGGCCAGCCCAGCAAAATGCTTTTAAAAAATACCAACCAAAAATTCCGTGTCCAGTAGAATTCTCCTTTAAAAATGAAGATAAGGGGCCAGCCTGGTGGCACAGCAGTTAAGTTGATGCACTCTGTTTCAGCAGCCCGGGGTTCGCAGGTTCGGAGCCCGGGGTTCGCAGGTTCATATCCCAGGCACACACCGACACACCACTTGTCAAGCCATGCTGTGGTGGCGTCCCATATAAAGTAGAGAAAGATAGGCACAGATGTTAGCCCAGGGCCAGTCTTCCTCAGCAAAAAGAGGAGGATTGGTATCGAATGTTAGCTCAGGGCTGATCTTCCTCACAAAAAAAAAAAAAAAAAAAGATAAAATAAAGATATTAACATGGGGCCAGCACTGTGGTGTAGCGGTTAAGTGGGCGTGCTCCGCTGCAGTGGCCTGGGGTTTGGATCCCCGGGGCGTACCGACGCACCACTTGTCAAGCAATGCTGCAGCAGCGTCCCATATAAAGTGGAGGAAGATGGGCACAGATGTTAGCTCAGGGCCGGTCTTCCTCGGCAAAAAGAGGAGGATTGGCATGGATGTTAGCTCAGGGCTGATCTCCTCACAAAAAAAGATATTCACAGAGTAAGAAAAACAGTTCCTTGCTAACAGACCTGCCCTAAAAGAAATGCTAAAGGAAGGTGTTTACACTGATGGTACCCGACTCCTCTGGAAGGAACAAAGAGCATCAGAGGGTGAGCACGTAGGTGAGTATAAGACACTACATTCTTATTCTCTGTCTCCACTGCTGAACAAAACATAAGGTTGTTGAAGCAAAGCAATTTTTGTTGGATTATAAGAAATAGATGTAACATATACCACAATAAGCACAGAGGAGGGGAAGGAAATGGAGCTGTGTTGGGGCAGAGGTGCTGCATTTCACTAGAGTTAAGTCTGTATTAACTAGAATTAGACTTGTTTACTTTAAAGTAACCACAACAAATATAACTCCAAAAATACAGTTTAAAAATCAAGAGGAATTAAAATATTACATTATTGCATAACATTACATTATTAAATTAAAATACTACATTAAAAAGTATATGGGGCCGGCCTGGTGGCGTAGTGGTTAAGTTTGCATGCTACACTTCAGCGGCCCGGGGTTTGCAGGTTTGGATCCCGGGTGAGGACTGACATACCGCTTGTCAAGCCATGCTGTGGAGGCATTCCATATAAGGTAGAGGAAGGTGGGCACGGATGTTAGCCCAGGGCCAATCTTCCTCAGCAAAAAGAGGAGGATTGGCAACGGATATTATCTCAGGGCTAATCTTCCTCACCAAAAAAAAAAAAAAAAGCATTTAACACACAAGAAGGCAATAAAGGCAGACTAAAGGAAAAAGACATGAGACATCCAGAAATAAATAGCAAAACAGCAGATGTAAATCACTTCGTATCAATGCTTATATTAAACATAAATAGACTAAACACGCCAATCAAAAGGCAGAGATTTTCAGACTAGATAAAGCCGTATGCAACTACACGCTCTCTACAAGAGACCTGCTTTAAATTCAACACAAATAAGTTCAAAGTAAAAGGATGGAAATAATACAATGCAGACAGTAACTAGATGAGAGCTAGAGCAGG